TTATGTAAACTTGTATTATTTTCCATGGATAATTACCCGTCATAGTTATTCATAAATTAAAGCAAGTGCAGAAACGCAGGGATATCTACATTTTTAGTCATTTTGTAGGTACAGATGCGATTAATGCTGTTTGCATTTATGTAACTATCTTTTTTGTATTCTTGGTCGTATTACTCTTCAGGGATTTGAATATATAATGATTGTAATGTTTTTACATTGGGAGATTTTCCTTTTTTTGTGATTTGAGAAATTGTCATAAGAATAACTGATGTCTTTTCTAGCTTATGCATACTTATTTGGTGATTATACGCGGTGGAATATTGATGAAGCACGAGCAATATTTGAAGAACTGGCATCGGGTGGCTCAGCTGATGCGCAACTGGCATTAGGGTTCATGCACGCTACTGGTTTAGGTGCTACGGAATCTTCGCAAGCAAAAGCACTAATTTACTACACTTTCTCTGCTTTGGGTGGAAATCCTTTGGCTCAGATGGCCTTAGTATATCTTTTGCTCTACTTCATGTTTGCAGTTGTAATTGAGATTAAAGTCTTAGTAATGTATTTTCACTGCTGCGGAAAGACCGTTATGTGATCATTTGGTGGTCTTTTTCACTTTTCATGCTGAACTTATCGCTTGATTGCTTCTCTAATTTTAGGGTTACCGGCATTGGTCCGGTATCTCCGTGCAGCAAAATTGTGAGCGTGCACTTACTTGGTATAGAAAAGTAGCTCAGCGTGTAAATGAGCAAGTTCGCATCTCAGGTGGTACAGCGATGCAGCGAATACGATTGCCTGATGAACAGGTTTACAATATATATAGTTTTTTACGTTTCTGCAAATGAAAAATTTTGAATTTCTATTCGCTGGACACCTACTTACTATATTCCATCCTTCTAACGAAAAATTTTTTAGGACACTGTCAGCACTTCTTCATCCAGTTCGATTCTCGACTCCAACTTGTTAAATTATTACAAGTATTTGGCAGATAAAGGCGATTTGCAAGCACAGGTAAAGTATTTCATATGCTGAGATGTAATATTTTTAGTTTCATGATGCAGTTGAATTTATTAGTTCTTTGCATTTGTTAAATTGCGCTCAAAAAAAAATTGGATATGAAAGTCAGTTATTCACGCCTGTGATTGTTTTATTTAGAATCACATTTGTTGGTATCATTCTGTTTGACATCAAATTTGATGTCCATTCAATTAAGAGAATTCGCCTTGGTACTCTTGCTTAAATTCTCACTTCTTGAGTGGGTTAAAACTGTTGCAACAGTGATGAATTAAGTGTGATTCTGGATTCTTCTGCTATAATAGCAATTTTATTGCTATTATAATTTGTTTACGAGGAAAATATCTTTTACTAGAAACTTGATAGTAGGACATTAGAAAGCGAAATACTCATTTCTTATATTAAATGAAAATCATCGAACGATTAGCATTTCTTAAGAAGATAATATTGATGAAAAACAATTCCTAGATCAGGTACGTGGTTAAAAGCAAGATGAGCTGTTTTTGTTGAGGTAAATCATTGGTTTTACGGTAAAATCTAAGTCCTGAATTCAAGACCAAAATTATTGCCCTTTTTATCGCAAAGTACGGTCGTGCAAACTGAAAATAACAATTCATCAGAATGGATCAAGCTTCAAAAATGTACGATATAAAAGGAAACGAAGTATAAGTTAAAATTTATTGTGACGGCAGTTTTTTCAATAAAATAATATGGAAAATTCTTTTTTTTCCTAGAACTGTTTATTTTCTTGCTGTGGTAGGTTTGATTCTTCCATGCAAAATGAAAGAATTTCGAACTCTGGTTGTGGAAACAAGCTAAAAAGAGTGTTTTATTAACGAGTTAAATCTGTGATTATCCATATAAATGTGTTTGCTATCAGTTCTGTTGTACGTATTACTTTTTTTTTGATAACTTGCTTCTACTAATGGAAATTTAAGGTTGGTCTTGGTCAGCTATACTTAACTGGTGGACGAGGAGTAGAGCAAAACATGGATTTAGCTAGTCAGTATTTTTCAACGGCTGCTCAGGCAGGCAGCACCAATGCATATGCATACCTGGGCAAAATGTATTTGGATGGCACACCAGCGACACCGCAAGATAATGCTACTGCTTTTCAGTTTTTCAAAAAGGCAGCAGATAAGGTATAGATGTTTCGATTCATTTCTATATGTCATCAATTTAATGGTAATTTAACTAGCAGTAAATATTTGCTATGATTTATAGGGAAATCCAGTTGGACAGAGTGGCCTAGCCATAATGTATATGTATGGTAAAGGGGTAAAACAGGATTATATCAAAGCAGCGAAATTGTTTACATTAGCCGCTGAACAAGGATGGGTTGATGGGCAATTAAATCTGGGCTATCTTCATTTCAGTAAGCTCATAATTTTCTTGCATTTTGAGTTTTCTTTTTCGACTATTTATTGTCATGTTTCTCGAATCAATAAGATATTTTGTTATTCCAGTTTAGGAGCAGACGACAACAAAGTATAGCTTCAAATACTTCTTTTACTCTTAGTAGATATTTGAAACAATTCTTGATGGTTAACTGCCTCTTGGAATTAGCTCATGATAATGAAGTTGTATTTTCAGGAGGGCTTGGCGTAAAGAGGGACTTCAAGTTGGCCATAAAATATTTTCAACTAGCTTCGCAGTCAGGGCATGTCAATGCATATTTTAATCTGGCACAAATTCATGCAACAGGTTCATTTGTTTTCATTCTGAACTTGTTATTTGATTTTATAACGTTCCACTTGCTTCAGCTCTTTGTAAAATATACTGTATGAATTTGATAATTTAGGTACTGGTGTACCTCGAAATTGTCATACAGCTGTTGAACTATACAAAAATGTTGCTGAACGAGGACGTTGGTCGGAACGTCTCATGGAGGCATATGCTAGTTATCGTGGTGGGCGGGTAGACGAAGCTGCGTTTAAATATCTTTTCTTAGCTGAACTTGGTTATGAACCAGCACAGACCAATTTCGCCTATATTATTGATCGTGGTAAGTTTTCCGAGTGACATTGTAAATGTCTTAAAAGCACCCTTCGAAATTTTAAGAGTTTATTAATTTTCTGTGTCATAATTCTTCCAGTTTTTAGGGGAATCGAATCTGTTTCCAAATGAAGAGGCATTACAACGTGCTTTACTTCATTGGCAACGCTCGGCTAATCAGGATTATGCTTATGCGCGCATAAAATTGGGAGATTATTATTATTACGGATATGGTACTCCTGTTGATTACGAAATGGCAGCAGCGCAGTATAAAATTGCTAGTGACCGACATCAGGCTGCACAGGCGATGTTTAATTTAGGCTACATGCATGAGCAAGGTCTTGGTATCAATAAGGTTTGTTTTTGAAGTAGTTTCTTTTTATTGTGCCTATTTCAGAAATTCAAGGCTTGTGTTAATTCTCCTGCAACATGTACAGTTTTCTTGTCATTACCCTGCATTTGTAACACTAAATTTTGTTTATGTTGGTTTTTTATTATCTTACAATATTTTTTAGAAATTATATTCAATAATGAAACTAAGAGCAGAGTTTCAAACAAATGTCTAGATTTAAAAATTAAAAAAAAAAAATGAATATATTTAGGATATGCATTTGGCCAAACGATTTTATGATATGGCAGCAGAAACAAGTACAGATGCTTATATGCCAGTTAGTCTCGCTCTTATGAAACTCACCGCTTTGTTCTTAGTGGAACATTTTAAAGAGGTTAGCTTGGAAATGCACTATGCAAGTCTTTAAGCCACAGAAAATTAGTGAATAAAGTTTCGTACTTCATATGCTGACTCTGTTCTCAAAATCTGTAGTCATTGCATGCTGTTAATTTTGGCAAAGGAAAATAATTTATTGTATCTCCTTTTCTATTTGTAATTCATGGAGATGGGTTTTGGATTTTTGTTGCTTCTAAATTATGTTAACTAAGAATAGGAGTTTTTTTTTCAGAATTCTTTTGTGACAATGCTCGATTATGTCTTCGGTGCTAACTGGGATTTGTATGTGATAACGTTATTTCTTGGTTTAATATTTATATTATGGATGGGTTACAGAAGACAAAGGATTGTGCATTGAGATATCTTCAAGTTACAAATGCTGTGCAAAGCTTCCTTTTCATTATCTCTTGAAAACATGGGAATAAATGTAATATTTACAGAAATGCGTTATTATATTCATTTTGCAATTGTTATACCTGTAATATACTTCATGGATTTATATTTCTTCTTTTCCATGTTGCATTGTTCAGATGTTAAGGAAGCTGATTCTTAAAGAAAAGGTTATTTATTCATTGTTTTTTAGATTTAGTATGACAACTTTGGTATAATGTATAATGTTTGAGTTAATTTTGTGGGATACAAATTTCTTATCGTTTTCTTTTTATTTGCACATGTTTCTAAGCCAAGTTAGCGAATACGGGTAAATGCATCGTACATTTAACACACGCAACTGTTAACTTATTCACTTTATTATCACTGATTTTGTTTTTTTTTTTTTTTAATCTTGCATATTTAAAGAGTTATCTCTTTGTTCCGTTGTGTTTCATATTTTTATGTCCATTGCTTTTAGGAAGTGTACTAATTATAACAAATAAAATTCTCATAATGGAGTGTTTTTTTCCAGAAAGTATTATTCCAAAGCATTATATATATATACGCAATTGTCACTAAATAAAAAACTGAAACTGCATACAGTAATGATGCAAGTAATTCTTGCATACTGTGGTCTGCTCTCGCATGCGAAAGCGCACTTTGGATTGTGCAGTACTGTATGCAAATAACTCATTCATTAATAGTTAATGTGAGGGTCGATTAAACGGGATAGTTGTTTTTCTGTCAAACTTCATAATACGAAGAGTGTGAGATAAATGGTAGATTGTTCGCATGTTTATACTTTTTTTCAGCTTTTAATGGGATAATTATTGTGATGCCGTCTAGCAATACGAGCAGTTAGCTTAGATCGGTTTCGTAAAACTTTTTGTGCAGGATGGCGTCGCTAATCCCGTTCAGTCAAGTACGACAGAATACCGTCAACTTTTTTATGAGAAGTTTGCATTTGAGTGGATGTTTTTAATGTAATTCCAGTGTTTTTAAGTTGCTGAGCTAGTAAACTGCAGCTTTTCATATTTAGAACCTGCTCGAGAGCTGTGGAAGACTGTTACATCACTTTCGCCAGCTGGTATTAAAAAAGGACGAGCCAAAACTCGACAAAGTGTTTTAAACCTTCAAAAGTTTTACCGTATTGGTGCGGGTGAGTTACCCATTTTATATATTATAGTATATGTGTTTTGAAAACTCATTTTGTTTCGAATGGTCTGTTTAGGTCCTATAAAAGTAAAATATCCTGGTCTGAATTCGCCTTTAACTATGCCAAACGATGAGCCAATGACGGTGATGGAGAAAACAACGGAAGAGGTTGATGCTGTCGAAGAACGTCTGAAAAATATCATAGCCACTCGACCTTCGTTAGTTACTTTTTATTATGATGCAAATTTAAATTCAAATGCTCAAAACTGCCGGACAATTTAATTCTGTTTTCTTTAAAGTGGGACTTCAAGCCCTTATTTTAACTATAAATTTTATAGGAAAAAAAGAGTAAAAGAAAAATTACATCCGTTGGAACGTGGTTTTGTTGGCACTCGAGTTGAAGGTCAAAAATTGGGTCCACCACCCCCTGTTGGTGATATTTGTTTTGATGACTTTCAAAGCTATTGCCTTCAGGTGCTTATGTTTTGTATGTAGATCCAATGTTGACATTGTAAAGAGATTGAAGTTGAGCATGAGTTAAAGTAGGATGTGTAATGATAACAAAGATAGATTAAGTAATGGTGATGAATAATGGATAAAGAAGTATTTCACATTTATGGCGATAATGATTGCTCATGATACTATGGAAGTAAATCTGTCGATATGCTTTTCCATCATGTTAATTTATTTGAACTACTTGTATTTCTCTATATATTGTAGCTTCGTAGAACCACGAATATGACATCGTACGGTCGACAACACACGATGTCAGCTTTAATTATCACGGGTAATGGGAATGGTCTTGGTGGTTATGCAATCGGTAAAGCTGGTCTGAAACATCATATTCGTGCTATTGTGAATGGTATGAAAATGGCATCAAGAAAACTGGTATACGTGGAGCTCTTAGAGAACCGTACAATTTATCAAGATTTCTATGCCGAATGTCGTGGTACCCGTATTTTTGCTCAGAGAAGACCAAAAGATTTTGGTGTAGTCGCTCATCCGAGACTTGTGAAAATTTGTGAGGTAATCATATCTTTTTTTGGAAATAAATTTCCTGTGTGGTCATCGTTCATTAAGTTTGATAGCTCTTCAAGTCACCACTTGTCATTTAGTAATCATTCGAGTTAAAAAAAAGCTTCGTTTGCATGTGTTGATTCTCTTGTTCTTATATGGAAAGGCTTTTGTTTCAAATTTTCAGGTACTTGGTATTAAAGATCTGGAATGTAAGGTGATAGGTTCTACTAGAAATTATATCGCACTTACGCACGCTTTCTTTATAGGTGAGTTCATTGTCGTCTTATTTTTTTAATCTTATTTTTTATTGTGAAATTTCAATAATTCATACACCTTTTTCATCTCATTCCTTTTTATCCATATTATGTGATAGTAATGAAATTCGTATTATCCATAGTTTTTTCTCTGAAGTTTAATGTCACTTTATTAGTCTATATCGTTGTGATATTTCTCGAGATTTCTTCTATGTTTGGTCGTGGCTTCTTGCAACAGTAAGTCATGAAAAAATTGTGATCACCATTTCAGTCTTAGGTTTATGTTCTGAATTATCTTTCTACTAATGCTCGACAGACCAATCCTATCAAATATTATCTCTCAAAAAGTTTTTTCCCAAAATTCGGGTTGGGTGTGGTAGCGTTTGTTTGATATTAGTTGATGTGTGGTATATCACATCTTCATTTGGTACCAGAGGAGTCAATAGGAGCTTAGTTACTAGCATTATTATTGGTCCAGTACTGAAGGAAATTCTCTTGACATGGAGACATATCTCTTCTTTATTTTCACAAAAGCCATGGGATGACTCTTAGAATGAATACGAATGTTATCAGTGATTACGCATTTTCTGTAAAATCAAAATCAGGTTATAAGTGGTGGTAGTATGTATTATCTTCTACTTATACATATCTTACTTAATTTTTTGTTAACGACACGGAATAAGAAAGTTCGAAATGGATTTAAATTTATATTCCCAATCATTCCTATCCTTTCAAACTATTCGAAATGATTTTTCTCGAGAGTTATTATAATTCATTTATAAGAATATGCTTCCACAGTATTATGTTTTCTACATTATGGTTACTTGAGTTTTTCTATACGCTATTTTTAGTCTCATCAAAAAAATTTATGGAGTAATTTATAATTACTTCAGGGATGGAATTTGGAAACGACTTTTAACAAATAATGAAGATGATACTAGTCCTTTTTTAAATTTATGCGTTTATTTCCTTTACTTATTATCAATGATTGTTTTTAGGCCTTTTAAATCAAGAAACTCATCTACAGCTCGCAGAACGCAAAAAGTTGCATGTTGTTGAACTTTCTCCACATAGGAGATATTTTCCTGTCAAAGTTGCGTCTCCTTTGCAATTAGAATTGAGAACAGAACGAGATATTGAACCTAAAGAAGTGAGTTCAACTACTTGTTATGCTCCTGGTATTTTTTTTCAATGGTTTTTTTATTTTCAAAAAAAAGATAATTGATAAAAGGAAGTAAAATTATTCTTACTGGAGTATTTGATTTTCAGAAATTATTATTAAATGATTTTTATGGCGAAGGACGTTTGCCGCTAATCAAAAAGCAGGTCCCGTTCTATGCAAATCTCTCTAATCATCTTGCTGCCGAGGCGCTCAAACATCGCTTCAGAAATAGGGATAAAGTGCTTTTTATTTTTGTTTTTCTCTTTTTTCAGTCCAGAAAAAAAGCATTTTTTTCTGGATAAAGAAAACCTCATTCACATTAAACATTTCTGATAGGCTATACTTTGATTGTAGGTCAAACACATTTTAAGCCAATTAAAAGTTACCATTTCATTAAAAACAATTGTTTTTTTTTCTTGTAATTTTTTAGAGCATGATACGGTTGATGGCTGATGATGTTGTGCCGCGCTGGACTCGTGATGAACGCCGGAAGTGGGCTAAACAAAAATACCAGGATATGATAAATGGATTGGTTCCGTTGCCGAGAGGAATTGGCTTGTCGGAAATTCTGCCTAAGTCTGAGGAAAGATAATTATTGGATGGATACTGCATTTTTGATTTTCTTAGATAGAGCATAATTCATGAAGTGCAAAAATTCTTTCCCATAAATGATTTCTTAATGAATTCGAAGTTGTTAAACTTCCCAAAATAAAACATTTCATTTGAAGAAGCAATCTAAATGATATTGACGATATTCGACCATCAATGCCCAACACCATTTGATCATTAAGTTATTGCAAAGCCTTACGTGGCTGGTCGTAAGTGGAGAAGGATGAAATTTGTAAAAGTAGAATATTAGGGAGCATAGCTATGAGCTGGGATGAAGCAATAGGCAAACAAACGGAACTGGATAATTTTAATATATTTGTCGTATTTTTATAAGGTTTGAACAATCTTAGCACGGAATAGAAGTGAGCTGGATATTCTCAGTTCAAAAACATTGAAGATATCAGTGATTTTTAACGTACTCTACTGTAAAAAGTTCAGGTCATTTAGTAAATGAATGGACAGGTAGAAAGAAATAGTGACAAAGAATTCTGGATAATTAATGGCGAAAGACGGTTATCGAAACTAGCGTTTTATTTAAGGTCAAGAGGTGAATTGGAATCCTCGCAAGAATATTTAGTACTAGTGAATTGGTAATCTTTCAGAATTACTAGACATAGCTGCAAAGTATTATTGATTTCCCTTAGAGAACCTGCATAATAAACGAGATATTTGAAGTGATCTTCAAGAAATGAAGAACAACTGTAAACACAGACTTACCCTTACCAGACGGAAATCATGTATTTCTTTCCATTTTCAATTTCTGGAATTAGAAAGTCGTCATTGATTTTGAATAGCTTTGCGAAAAACGACGCAATGATTAAATGAAACGAAAGCATTGTGATGAAGTCCGTATCTTGCTGGAAATGTTACGGAACTCTTCAAAACTGAAGAAAAGTCCTTTGGGCTTGAAGTGAGTGTAAAAGAAGATCAGGTACTTCCCTGTTCATTCCTCCCTTTAGATTTTTCTCCCATATCAAGTGGAAAGTTTGTACTTACAGATGTTTGTTCAAAATGACAAGTGGAAACGATTTTGTGGCTTGAATACACGACCAGCCTATTTCTCACAGAGGGATCCACAGATTTCAAAGCGAGTTGAGTTGAATCGAGCCACTAAGGTTCTGTTCGTTGATGTGTTATTTCGGTGCGGTTGGGTTAATTTTATTTGAGTTGAAGGGTTTCAGTAAGTCATGGCGGACACTAAGGCTTTACCGGTGTTTGCATTTACGGACGACCGAATACAGTTACAACAACTGCGAGCATATATGAGAGAGCACGGATCTTCAATCAGCGAAGAGGGTTTGTTCACACTCTTAAGAAGATTTCTTGATTTGTGCCATACTAACTGATTACATTAAAAATAGAGTTGTCATTTCCAGGATCTGCAGATTTTAGTGAGAATTTGGAGGAATTGGTTAAGGCTGTTCATGTTTTGGGTGCTTTGGAAAGTGATAAGGAAGTAGAAATGATTTTAAACTCTATATCATCGCTTATTGTTGTACTTACACCGGAAGCAGCTGAGAAAATAATTATTGAATTCTGTCATCAGTTAACTCCGGAAAATTTCAAGGGAACTGGATGGAATAGCAATGTAAGTTATTTATCTGTTGGTTAATTCTTTTATTGCTATTCTAAGTCAATTTTATAGCAGTGAAATTGTTTTCATTACACATTCTTCGACTTGCGATATATTCCTCTCATTGTACTGCATTGATATTCACTGCTGTAGCTAGCAGATATAAATCCAAAGTCAAATTACAAATAAATGGTGTAGGAAATTTCTTTTGCAACTTTGAGGAAAAAGCCAGATACATATTAGTTATGAAATCCTTCCTTGTAAGAATGAGAAATGAAAGATCAATCCGAAATCAGATTAAAAACCTGGTTTAAAAATGTCTTTTCAGTTTCCTCGAAATTGTGAAAGATGGAGTTTTTTTCTATCTTTATACTACGATGATTAAGCTGTTGGGATTGATGATTGGCTGGTTTCTTTTTGTAATTTATGCTAGATTTTCAGGCGTCATCAGCTGTTCGGACCCTTTCAAATTTATTTTTTGCTTTTAATAAGCATCCACGAGTACAGCATTCTCTTTATATTGCGTTGGTAGCTTTGTGTGGAAGAGCACGAATCATTGGAGATCTGGATACAAGTACTGAGAAAGTGAATGAATATATTAGTCGTTGGTCTTTGGATCAGAAGCAGCAGCGCAGTCTTTTACGGTTGATTCATTGGGCTCTTATCCATGACGGAAGAGCCGATCAAGCAGCTAAAGTTAGTTCTCTATACGGAATTTTGAATCTCTATAACTAGGTCCTAACATATGCCGTGCTCAGAGTTTAATGAAGTATGCTTTTTTTCTCTCTGGTTGACAGTTACGAGTTTTTGGATCCACATTTTCTTGAGTGACTGATCATTGAGAATTATTACTGGTAGTACATTTTTCGCCATTTTAGACAATGACAGCTTTACTGAGAACATATACTGATGCAGATGCTGCATTTGCTATAGAAGATGCCCGTGAATGCGTGCGAACAGCAATAGTTGACCCGAAGTCCTTCAGTTTCGATCATCTTTTAAGGCTTTCTGCAGTGCAGTTATTGGAAAAAGTATAATATTTATTCAAGAAATCAGCCATTAGTAAAAATACATGCATTAATTGTGCATCAATTTAAGTATAAAAATGTGTTTATCAGTAAATGATTGGACTTAAGTATATATATATATATATATATATATATATATATAGTATAAAAATGTGTTTATCAGTAAATGATTGGACTTAAGTATATATATATAGAAGGTGTGATTCATTTATTTTGACTTTATCTACCAGTAATATAATGAATAAGATAAATTTGTTATTTAAATGACAAACCTCTGTTTATCTCTTATTATTTAATATGTTTCTAGAGTGATCCATTGATGCACGAAGTGCTAAAGCTATTTTCTGAAGGTACTTTGAAAGATTATCAAACCTTTATTACGAAACATCCAACTTTTATTAGTGAAAAGTTGCATGTTGATGATACAGTTCTGATCAAGAAGATGCGGTTGCTAACGTTGATGGACATGGCCGAAAAAAAGACTGTAAGTTCCTAGTTATTCAACAGAATAAAAACAAAATTTCATAATTATGTGTGCGACAATTATCCCACTCATTTTTTGTTTAGGATTCAAATTTTCTTGAATCAGGTGAAATCAATTTAAGCAATACAATAACATTTTGCTTTAAGGATTCGAAAGATTTAAATTGAGCATGTTAGGTTTTTTTTTTTTTTTCAGAGAAAATTTTTCAACCATGTTCGATGACAGATTATTTATAGGTCATATCTCTTCATGATTTATCACTTGAAGTTGATATACCGGAGAATGAAGAACTCGAAGAATTTATAATTGAAGCAATTAGAATAAATGCTATTACTGTACGTCTATTTATGTTTCCCTGAATGATGAAAATCGAATTACAAAGCGTTATATATTATATGAAATTAAGGTTTTCTGTTACACCAGTGGATTTTTCTTTTTTTTTACGTGATTTATTTATGTTTTAGGGCAAGATAAATGAGTTAAAAAACGAACTCAATGTGACATCGCTTCAACATCGAAGTTTTGGTCGTCCCCAGTGGGAACTTCTTCGAAAACGGCTTATTGCATTAATCGGTAGCTTGAGTATATCACACGAAAATATCAAGAATGTATTTGTTAATGGTGCTACCACATAATTTATATATGTTTATCCTTTTTCATTTGCATTTTTGTTGCATCTAACATTATATTAATACTCTAAGATTTGAAACGTGATCTTTTCATGCATTGTGTTGGTTAAAGTTTGTTTGAATTAACAAGCAAAGGATAGAGTAAATGGTGAGTGGAAATTTTTAACGCTGAATTTTTACAAGTAAAAAGTGAACTTTTGTTGATAAATTTGTTTTGGTATAATTTCAGTGTGTAATAAACTTCATGTGGGGATTGTTGTTTTAAATTTGCGTCAGCTTTTGCAAATTTACTTCTTTTATTTTGATGTTATTTGATTTCATATCCTATATTTTTAGAAGGGTCTGCAGTTAAGTTTTGGCTTTTCTTTTTTTTTCGTTTTTGTTTTGTTGAACTGTTCTCATACATATTAAAAACTATGATTTTATCTTGTTATTAAGGTGTCTCTGCAAACATTGTTGAATGGATGTTGGTGGAGGCAGTACTGGATCTTCCCAGATGGAAACAATTGATAAAGAACAAGTGTTTGAGTGGATTTTGGATTTGAGTGATTCAAGTAAGCGAGAACAGGCACTTCTGGAACTGAGGTATTTTTCGCCAGTATTTTCTTTGACCTTGTGGTGGGCTTTAATTGGTCATAAATGTTAATATCTCTTTCTCTCCTCTTAGGTTGGTATAATTGCTTTATAACAATAAATGTTTTATGGTTTTTCAAAGCTTCTGACAGTATCTACTCGAATGAAAGGTGATTTATGTAAAATGCAGCAAAAAGCGAGAAACGGTTCCTGACTTACCTTTATGGTTGTGGTATTCATTTGGTTCAATGGCTTCTCTGCTTCAAGAAGTAATCTCAATATATCCAGCAATCATGCCACCGACACTTACAGCAGGGCAGTCGAATCGTGTATGTAATGCTCTAGCTTTGATGCAATGTGTTGCTTCACACAAGGAAACTAGAAGTCCATTTTTACAGGGTAATTTTTCAAATTTGGAAGGAATCTGTGATACTTTTTGGAATTTAATATTAATTTTTTAGTGCACTTTAGCTTAATTCCTTCGAATATATTTCCATGAAATATATATATCTTTTACTGATATTTTTATGGTACTATTTTAGTATAATTTACATTTGAAACAAATTATTAAGTACCATATCTTACAATAAGTAGTTATTTTTATTCTTGATGCGATAGAACGATGTAAAAATTTGAGATTTGCTGTGAAAATTTTCACAAAAGTCACTTTATTTACTAAATATAGCATTCATTCGT